TGCTTTTTGCTCCCAATTCTCCATGTAAATCTTGCTAAAATCAGCCAGAAATACCCATGTTGTGTTGCCTTGAATTTTCATCTGTCTGATTAATTGGTTCATCGCCTTAAAACTCAGCTTCCCACAAAGTCTCAGGGCATGAACAAAAGATGTAGACAAGTTCTTTGCAGAATGTAACATGAATGGCCTCTAATCCAATTCCCAGTAGAGCTTTAATTTCCATCTGAAACCTCTTTCTGCATCCCTGTCAGCATTCCAGTCTTCTGAGCTTAATGGCCTCTTAAGCTCTGATTACAGCATTCTAGGCTTTCTCTAGTCTACTTCTTCAGACTTTTCTAGACTCCTGTAAACCAATTCCAAAGGCTTCTGAACCACATCATCAGGTAGAGTCACAGCAACAACCCCACTTCTTGGTACCAGTTTTTTGTGTTAGTCAACTTCTTGTTGCTGTGACAAAATACCCAAGAGCATCATCTTATCTAGAGGAAAGATTTTATTTTGGTTCATGGTATCAGAGGTTTAAATCCATGGTTTTGGTTGGCCCTAGTGCCTTTGGGCCTGTGGTGGGGCCATATATCATGGCAGTGAGCCCATGGCAGAGGAAACTATTCACCTATGGTGGCCAGGAAGCAGAGAGAAGAAAGGGCCAGGGTCCTAATATCCCCTTCAAGGGTCTGACCCCAGTGACCTAACGTCTCTTCACTAGGCCCCATCTCCTAAAGGTCCCACCACCTTCCAGTAATACCACAAGCTGGCACCAAGCCTTGACAACACCAAGAGAGAACCTCAGTATGAATTGCAGACTTCAGGTAATGATGTGTCAGTGTAGACTGATCAGTTGTAACAATTATACCACTCTGGAAGAGGGGAGTATTGATAGTGGTGAGACTGTACTTTGTAAAAAGGCAAATGTAGAGATTCTGGGCTTTATGCTCAGTTTTTCTGTGACTCTAAAGCTGCTCTAAAAATAGTATGTTAAAAAAGAAAGAAACCTCATAACCTTTAGCTATCACTCCCCTTCCCTCACATCCCACCATGTCATAAGTAACCACTAGTCTTCCAGCCATTAATCTTTCTATATTTCTTTTGCATTGCACACATACTTGGCTAGATGTATTATTAATAGTTACTATTTATTAGGACCTAATCTCTGCAAATAATCATATCATCTGTCTTAATCCTCATGATAATTCTATAAGGTCCAGGTGTTCATTGTCATCTCAAAAGTGGGGATATTGAAACTTAATGACTTATAGCCAGCAGATGGTGGAACTGGCATTTTATCCTAGGCCTCTAATTCTAAAACTCGTAATTTTAACTTTTGTACCATAGTATCTAGTGTGTTAAATTCAACTTTTTTTTTTTTTTGGCATTACTGGGGGTTGAACTCAGGAGCTCACACTTGTTAGGAAGGTACTGTATCACTTGAGCCAAGCCCCCAGCAAAACTGAATTTTTGAAACTATGCAATCTCTACTGGAAATTTTACCAAATAAATAATTATATACAATATAAATTTATATTTATATATTAAATAAATATATATATTTGGCAGCACTGAAATTTGAACTCAGGGCCTCACGCTTGCTGGACAAGTGCTCTTACCACTTGAGCCACTCTGCCAGCCTAGGGCTGGCTTTGAACCCTGGTCCTCCTGATCTCTGCCTCCAAAGTAGCTAGGATTATAGGCCTGAGCCACTAGTGTCTGACTGGTATTTTAACATGTAGTGGAAATGCTTAGGTTGGTAGGCATGCTATCTTTCTCATGAAATTTTCTGCATGGTCTGCACTTAACACTAGCCATTTTAGAATTGTGTGTATCTGTGCTTTCATCATTTGTATAGTCTTCCACTAAGATACGTGTTTTGCCCTAGTAATTCCCACATCCATGAGATTTGCTTTTATTGTTGATGAATTTTCTACAATTGTAGAAAAGATTGCAATACCTTTTAACAGTAAATCATACTCAATTTTGGACTTCTTTGTACTTCTGTGCACATTTAAGCTTTTTTTAATTCCTTAGGTTTTTGTAATTATAAAAATAACAGAATACTATGTGGTTGTATAAGAGGCGGTATTATATATGTATCAGCATTGAAAATCTAATACATCAAATTTAAGGAAAGCTACAGAGCAGCATGGGTAGCATGTCCTTACCTGCCTAGAACAGACTTGTGTACATTTATCTTATTTACTGATAGTGTCCAGAAAAATACAAAACAAATCCCTAAGAGTGTGACTGTAAAGATGAGAGGAAAGATACTTTATACTTTTCTGTTTTGTCTGTTTTCCTTTTTATTAATTTCTTCTCCTCCAATCTTTGTGTGTGTTTCGTGGTGCTGGAGCTTGAGTCCAGGGCCTTGTGCATGTACACATGCACTGTGCCACTGAGCTACACCCCAGCCCTACCTCTAGTGTTACACACGCTCCCGTTTGCTTGTCATTCTCTCACTCTTTGCTTTTAGTAGCCTCTGGTTTTACCTCTCCACATCTTTCTTCAGGCTCATGCATACAGACACATGTAGGGATCTTAGGGGCGGTCATTACAGGGATACACCTGTAATCCTAGCTACTCAGGAGACAGAGATCAGGAGGATCACAATTTGAAGCCAGCCGTAGGCAAATACTTCATGAGACCCTATCTTGAAAAAAACCCAACACAAGAAAGAGCTGGTGGAGTGGCTCAAGGTGTAGGCCCTGAGTTCAAGCCCCAGTACCGGGGGTGGAGGGGGGGAGTCCTCAAAAACTAATGAAGTCTTAAAAAGTGAATATAAAGACCTAACTGGGCTGGGTGTGGTGGTTCATACCTGTAATACTAGCACCTGGGAGACTGAGCCAGGAGGATTTGAGTTCCAGTCCAGCCTGGGCTACACAGTGAGACCCTGTCTCAAAAGAGCAAAAACATCAAAAACCTTCAAAACAGAACTAAAAACCCTAACTGGAAGAGACTCTAGTGGCCAAATTTCGGACAATTCGAATATCAAACAAATAATTTAAATTATATCACATTGTATGTTTTTAAATCAATGAATCTCTAGAGATACTGAGCAAAGGTAGAGGACAAGAGTAAAAAGCCCTTAAGAAAAAAAAAAAGGAAACTATTAGCTAATGCAGAAGGAAAGGCAATACTAAACCTCACCACCATTTGCTACCTCCAGTGTAATACGTAAAGTTAAATACAGACAGTAACTGTCATGGAGGCTAAAACACTAGTGAGAGGTCGCTAGGCTATTGGGATGGGGACACAGATTAATTACTTACTGACCACAAAGAAAGAAAAACACCTTTACACTAGAAATCCTGTAGTTACCACTTTAATGAAATGATCAAAGTCAGTCATGTGCTATTTTGTTGGGTGCACTAAGAAGTACCCAATTCACTTATGAAGTACTCTTTCCCAAAAATGTCTGACTAAATCTAATCAGCCCTTGTGTAAATGTAGCACTGCCTTCTGCAGACAGAAGAGTACATAATTCTATTGTATGACTTTAGGTAGGTTATGTTTAAACCTTTTGTGAGTCTCAGAATCCTACATTTGTAAATCAGTAACATTGAATCAGATAAATTTCTGAAAATAACTTGGCTTATATTTTGATATATGCTAAGCATGTAACCTATTGATTCAGCTTTGCTGTCAGAATCCATTCATAGCCACCAAGTATGTAGCTAAAGAAAAACTACATTTCTCTTTTCTACATCTGAGTTTCTTACCTACTTATTCTGTAATTCAATGACATGTCTCATGAATTCCCTACACTTGGCTTAAATCCATAAGCAGTCGAAATCCAAAGTTGCTGGGGTATTTTAGGTAGGAGGGCATAGCTGAGAAGATCGCTATGCTCACTAGAAGTTTAAATTGACTTGAATGAAATTACTAATTTTTTACATCAAAAATGGTCTCACATCAGCAATTTGTCATGGTATTTTAGTGATAGAGGCGTGGTACATCTTTGTCAAGGAACCTCTTTTCTTATGGAAGAAAGAGAGGAAAGACCCACGTAAGAAGGTAATGGTGATGTGGAGTGAGTAGCATTCTAAACATGAGGCTGTTTCTTCATTTCATATTCTCCCTCCCCCGAACCCGCACGTATAATAGTCACTCTTTTTAATCACTTCTTACCTATTGCCTTTTCTTTCCAAGTAGTGGGAAATGAGGCAAAAGGAAAGACAATTGGGCTGCGGATTAGCTCAGTGGTTGTTTGCCTAGCATGCATGAGGCCCTGGGTTCGATCCCCAGTGCCACAGAAAACCAACAAAAGAAAACAAAATTATTCTAGCTCTTCTTTTTTTTTTATTTTATTTTTTTTCTTTTATTATTCATATGTGCATACAAGGCTTGGTTCATTTCTCCCCCCTGCCCCCACCCCCTCCCTTACCACCCACTCCACCCCCTCCCTCTCCCCCCCTCTAGCTCTTCTTTTTCCTCACTTTAAACTCTGGCCTTTTGAGTAGGCAGCAGCAGAGTCTTGAAAACTTGAATGTAATTTACTTCAAGTTCCAGCTGGATCTTTCCTCCAGACAGTCCTTAGAAATAATAGTGTTAACTTTTGAACCCTCATTACTAGTAGAAACGGAAGGAAAGACAGGTTGGGGGGCTTTGAGGGGATAGTATCAACATGAACATGAAGATGAAGTAATAACTCACAGGAGATGGGAGAGAAGGCTCTCAGAGATGATTGACAGTATCATATCACAGCAAGAATCCTCCCAGGGAAGTATTATATATGTAATAGATACATAAAATAACAAGGGCCATAGTTATTATTTCCATAAGAAAGTGATCTGTCTTCCTCAAAGAATGAGTTCTGGGCAAATGTGTATAGTTTCACTATTGCTAAATTTCTTTTATTTATTTCTTCAAATAAGAAGGAATAAATTCTTTGGAAGACTTACCCTCTTCAGGAAATGTGATCAAACTTATATATAAATAGTTTTATGAAAATCCTTGGTTTCTGGCAGGCCCAGTTGTTGCCAGTGTGAACATTACCTTTTGTGTCCTAGATAGCTGCTCAGGAGGCAATCCTGCACGCATCAGGAAATGGCTTATCATTACCGTCTAAGGATTACTGCATGCTGTATAATCCTAACTGGACAGTGCTTCCTAGTACCCTGGAAAATGCAGTAAGTCAATCACAGCTACTATTTATTCCTAAAAATAAAAATGCTGAAAAACGAGAATGAATATTAATTATGTTCTAGTGTGTGAACTAAGTTCGATATCTGGTAATTGGGGAGCTTTTAAATAACTTGTCTCTAAGTCTGGTTATTTGTCATAAGATGTTTAAAAGAACATTGTTTTTGTTGGTGGGAATGGGGACTGAACCTAGGACTCCCATGTGCTACAACAGAGCTAGGCCTCCAGCCACTAAAAGATCATTGAATTAAAACAGCTTTGGTACCCCATCCCTAAATGCGTTTGGGTGAAATTTGGTATTTGTCAGACTGAAGACATTTCTTATTTTCAGACTTCCATTAGTTTGATGAATCTGACTACCACACCACTATGCAACCTTTCTGATATCCCTCCTGATGGCATAAAAGACAAAGCAGTTGTGGTACAGTGGGGACCCTGCCATTTTCTTGAAAAAGCCAGAATTGCTCAAAAAGGAGGTGCTGAAGCGCTGCTGGTTGCCAATAACAGTATCCTTGTAAGTTACAAAATTATAACTTCTTTTGAGCTCACGTATCAACTTTCTTAAGAATTATCTCCTTTGTGTGTGATTTAGGGGTTGAATTTTGAATAACCTCATAGTAGGATTCTTTGTTAATAAGCATTCTGGTTTTAATAGGCATTGAATTGGAAAGTTTGGTAGTTTTTGTTTTATTCCTAGAGCAGAGGAAACTGTTTTTAGAAACAAGTAGAAGCAAGTATGTACACACATGTATGTAAGTATAGGAATACACATGTATATGCACATATATGTCATCTATGTGATGTCCTACTTTGTATATATCACTTTATGTTCATGTTAAAAAGATTTGGTGTTAAGAACTTAATATAAGAAAGAATACCTGAACTTTTGTTTTGTAACTTAAAAGATGTGATATTTATACTTAGTGGAAAGAAGTGTATTATTTTATTCTGTGAAAATTTTTTTGTTTGTTTTATAACTTAAAAGATGTGATATTTACACTTAATGGAATAGTATGTATTTTTATTCTGTAAAAGTTTTTTTTTTGTTTTATTCCCATATTATTGTACTGGGAGCATACTGTGGCATTTACAAAATCTGTGAAAATGTTAGTAGTAAAAATTTTCATATTTTTTTTCTTTTAAGCTTCCTCTCTCAGGGAATAGATCTGAGTTTCTTGATGTGAATATAATAATTGGATTTATAAGCCACAAAGACTTTGAAGATATGGCACAGGTAAATTAGTAATTACATATTATATGAAATTTATTTATTTATTTTGGTGGAACTGGGGTTTTGAACTTAGGCATTTGTGCTTATAAAGCAGGAGTTCTGCTGCTTGAGCCATACCTTCAGTCCCTTTTGCTCTGGTTATTTTGGAGATGGGGGTCTCGTGAACTATTTGCCCAGGATGGCCTCGAACCTCGATCCTCTGGATCTCAACTTCCCAAGTAGCTAGGATTACAGGTGTGAGCCCCTAGGCACCCAGCTTAGATGAAATTTATAAATAGTACAACTCTTTGCTTTTAATCACTGATCCTTAATTTTGACTATGATGTGTGCTTCATTTGCTAACAAGAAGCCTAAAGGCTTAGTAAACCTTTGAGAAGTACTGACTTCTCATTTGGCACAAAGTGTCTCAAAGCCTGGACTTTACAAAGGGTATTTATTTGTTTTGAATTCTTTTAAAATCTCTGGTGTCATGTATCTTCATTTTACATCCTTGAACAAAATGTGTTTGGAATGGTGTCTTCAAGATTTTATAAGCAGAGTGTATCCTCCTATTTTTGACTGAAGGATATATCGTGTTGCCTGGTCTTCTTGATGGCTGTTGAAGTTTCCAGCTCAGGGTGACATGTGGAATATTGCTGCCATGCTCTGCAGTAGAGAGAAAATGCCTTCCTGTGTGTAACTCTCATTTTGCCCTTCAGACTCTTGGAAGTAACATTACCGTGAAAATGTATTCTCCGTCGTGGCCTAACTTTGACTATACTATGGTGGTTATTTTTGTAATTGCTGTGTTCACTGTGGCATTAGGAGGATACTGGAGTGGACTCACTGAGCTGTAAGTTCAGTTAAACTTTTGTGTTTTGTGATAAATGTTTTGTAATCATTTTAATCATATAGTTACATTTAAAATTTTTAGCTGACTTCAGAAAATAGTGCCATTTAGACCAGATTGTAAGGCTGTCCTTACTTAGGTCATTCCCTTTCCACTTTGAACAAAAGAGTCACAGGTTCCTCTAAGTATTCTGTTGATAGGGAAGCATTAAAGTCACTGCAAAGACTCTTAAGTTAATGTGCTCAATTCTTTCTCCAGGAAAGGTGGAAGATACTTAATACACTTACATGCCCATTTATTTGCATTGGAAGAAAATAAGCCAGAGAAGGAACGGTTTTCAGCTCCTCCTGCACTGGGTCATTAACAGTGTGGCTGCATCAGTCTGTTCATGCTTTCAGAATTCTAAGGATATTAGGCATATAGAAATTCCAAGTGTACATAAAATTTGGATTTTCCCATTTAATTGCAACCTAAACCCAGTCTCTGTACAGTTTGGTTCTATGTTAAAATAGGCAATGTAGTATAGAAAGATCAGTTCGTATTCATAACTCCAAATGAAAAACTATGCTAAAAGCATGCTATCACATATAAAGGACAATACACTCATTTTTGAACGGGCCTATATAGGGTCCATTAAAAAAGGCTTATTTGTGACTAAGTTTACTTGTAGTTTCTTATGTACTAAGATTTATTGACTTACATCAGGAGTAGATATTTAACAAGTATTTAACAAGTGTAGATTCCTAAGGAGTTGAGCTATAAATATTTTACCTATTTGGAATGCATGTTTCAATATGTATCAGTCACATTTTTCATGTTAGTAAGTCTGGGCTTTTATTTATCATTAATATTTATACAGTACAGTTTGTAAGATCGCCAAGATCCCAAGGATCATATTCTGTATTACTTGGGAAACTTTATAATTTTCCACCCAGCACCAGTGGCAGAGATCAGGGGGATCACGGTTCAAAGCCAGCCCAGGCAAATAGTTTGCGAGACCCTGTCTCAAAAAACCCATCACAAAAATAGGGCTAGTGGAGCAGCTTAAGGTGAAGGCCCTGAGTTCAAGCCCCAGTACCACAAAAAATAACAATAATAAGTTTCCAAAAGCTGTTGATTCATTGAAGACATTATCCCATTTAATATAGATTCTTACCATACTTCTAGTACTTTGTAAAGTTTTTCCTTTCTAGAGTAGTGACTCGAACTATAACCTGCATGCATACTGTCTGGCGATCTTGTAAAAATACAAATACAGATTTAATACATTTGGGGTGGGGCCTAAATTCTGCATTTTTAACAAGCTCCCCAGTGATTTGCTGGTCCCTGGGCCACACCTGAGTTGGCAAGCTGTGTTAGTCAGCTTTCCATCACTGTGACAAAATACTTGAGATAAGCAACTTAAAAGGAAGGAAGGTTTATTTTGGCTCATGCATCCAGAGGTTTCAGTCCATGTGGCTTGGTTCTATCACTTTGGCTCTGTAGTGGGGCAGAACATCGTGGTAGGGAGCACATAGTTTAGCAAAACTGCTTACCTCACGTTGGCAGGGAAGTGGGGGGGTGGGGGAGCAGCATCTCAATATTCCCTACAAAGGCACTTGTTGCTACTGAGGACAACAAATTTTTAAATGGGAGGGAACTGATTCTAAGAATAAAATAAAACCAGAAGTATATGTTGGGGGAGGGTGACCATATGGAGAAAGGGTATATGAGTCGGCGATAAAAAGGAAAAAATCCTGTAAAGTTATTATTGAAAAACATAAGGACTGTCATTTAGTAAGTAGAGACAGATGGGAAGAGAATACAGCTTAGGGAGAACATGCCAGTACGGATCTCTCAATCCAAAGTTACTCTATTGAATGAAAGATAGACCTTATGCAGAAAGGAACGATGTCTTGGTTCCAGACAATGACTTTCAGCAAAGTGTTCAGATCTTATTCCAATGAGATCACCGATCTTCCTGCTTTATGACATCCTGATGACATGGAAGACAGCTTAGCTTCCATTTCATGTGGCCCTCAAGCTGACTGAGAGTACAGTTTGGGGGTACTGGGGGCATAGCTCAGTGGTAGGACACTTACCTAGCATGTGTGAAGCCCTGGGTTTGATCCCAGCACTGCAAAAAGACTACAGTTTCAAAAAACTTAATTGTTATATTTTCATGTGATATAAATTTCCTTTCGAGAAATTACCTTATGCTTTTTAATATTCTGAATATGAATACATAAGTCATTGTTATGACTTGTCTGTATGTTATAGCAAAACTGTCTGTACATCTGCAGAAACAGCTACCCAAAGTTGGCACCTTTTCCCATTTAGGTACCACATTTACTGAAACTTCTGTTAATGCCCTGCCTTCTAGCTCTACATTTCCAGGGGAGGTGCTGGCGTGTCTGCACCAACTCTGCACCACCCCGCCCTCTTTCCAGGTCACCTGTCTAGAGTCACAGATGATAAATGTAGTGGCCGTCCTGATCAGTAGTTCTCTAATAAGAAAGTGGCATGTTTGTAGATAAGCAGCTGGCAAATGTGCAGTTTGAGAGAAATAAGCTTAAATTTTTTTTTTTTTTACAGTACTGGGGTTTGAACTCAGGGCCTCATGATTGCCAGGCAGGCACTCTACCACTTGAGCTTCTTCGCCAGCTAACTTAAAATTTTTAACCCAAAGTTTGCATTGAGCCTAGACTTAATGAGCAGTGCCAGGACATGCACAAGAGGAAATAGAGTTAAAGGGACTAGAGCTAGAAAAGCATGTAGTAGGTTCCGTATAACCTGGACGGGACCATGAAGTTGACAGAGCAGAGACTGATCAACAAATGACACTTGCTGCTCTTTTCTCTTTGACTTCTGTCTCTACCTTTTATTAGCGGGGTAACATAATGAGGAATTGTTGGGAGAATTAAAAACAATTAAATGAAGGTAGGATGAAGCTAGGTCTTGTACTTCTAAATCCTTCAAAATAACAGAACAGGTGTCTAGTAAACACTCATTGGTTGATAGGAGAGTCACGTGTTTACATTTAAGAAAAGCTAACTCAGAAGAACTTTACTGTCTGTAAGTTCATAATAGTAACTGCATAAGAAGTGTTGGTTATCACCTGACATTTATTATGTTAACATAGTTTCCAAGTTAGATTACATGGCCCTTACAAACGTTAATGTTTATATAACAGCTGTCATCTGTTAAAACATTTTTGTTAAATGTCTGGAGGGCAGAATTATAAGGATTTTTTTACCTTCTAGATTAAATATTTTTTTTTGGTATTCAGTTTTTGTTTTTTTGTTTTTGATGATACTGGGGTTTGAACTTGGCCTCATGCTTGGGAGGCAGGTGCTCTACCACTTGTGGTACTCTGCCAGCCTTTTTTTTTTGTGTGTGTTGGGTATTTTTTGAGATAAAGTCTTGTTTTTTGCCCAGCTTGTCTCCAACTGCAATCCTCCTGATCTCTGCCTCTTGAGTAGCTAGGATTATAGGTGTGAGCAACTAGTGCTTAGCTGGTATTCAGTTTTTTAAAAGTACATTGCTTTTGTAATCAGAAACAAACAAATTGGTATTAGAGATAGATTTTAGAAGTAATTGTGCTAGGTAGAGAGAGATTTGCTGATTTTTCTGTGAATGTTTATACAGAGAAAACTTGAAGGCATTAGCAAGCACAGAAGATCGAGAAATGATGAAAAAGAAGGAAGAATATTTAACTTTCAGTCCTCTTACAGTTGTAATATTTGTGGTCATCTGCTGTGTTATGATGGTCTTACTCTATTTCTTCTACAAGTGGTTGGGTAAGAAGTCATATTTTATGTTTGCTTTTACTATGCATTCTTTTCATTTACTTCGCTAGATTTTTTTTTTTTTTGTAGCATTCTACCTGGGAAACAAGTAAATAACTTGGTTAACTTGCCAGAAGTATTAGGCCTCTATTACTCTGAGATGTAAAAAAAGAAATTCAGATTAAAAATACACTACATCTTGAAATAAGAGCACTCATTCATGAATTAACTGAAAGAATTGCTGTGGTCCCTGTTTCCCCCTATACAGATAAAGAATAATAGCCTGTTATGTAAGGTGTGGACTAAGGACTTGTGGGGCTATACTTATTTACATGTAATGGAAGATTTACTCAGGTTGCTGATTTATTGTCTCTGCTTATTCCCACAGTGTAGGGTTTTTTTGTTTGTTTGTTTGTTTTTTGGTCACTTTGTAAACCAAGATTCTCTGTCACTTGGGATTTTGGTTTACTTGTACAAACAGGATCACACATATATGAAGACACACAGGTACTTGCCTGTGGTTTAGAGAGTAACTTGTGTCCATGCCTTTAATCCCAGCTACCTGAAAAATACTAAAGAAAAAGGAATGGGTAAGTGGCTCAAGTGGTAGAGGCCCTGCCTAGGAATCATGAGACCCTAAGTTCAAACCAAATACTGCAAAAAAAAAAGGGTAGAAACTATACTTACTTGCCCATCCCCTAGACAATCTTACTAATGATCTGATAGCATGAAAATTTGCTATCCATAGCCTGTATACAGTGTAAACAGGAGAGAGACCAGAGAAAGGGGAGTGTATCTGATGAGAACTAGCCAAATACACTAAAGGCTACATTGCTTATTTGGAGAATATTAGTATAAATTTTTGGACTAGAAAACTGAGGTCAAGTCAAGCACCGGTGGTTTACACCTGTAGTCTCAGTGACTTAAGAGGCTGAGGGCAGGAGGATCAAGGTTCAAGACCAGCCCAGGCAAATAGTTTGCAAGATCCCATCTCCAAAATAACCAGAGCAAAATGTACTAGAGGCCTGGCTCAAGTGGTACAGTGCCTGCTTTGCAAGTGTTAAGCCCTGAGTCCCACCAAGAAGAAAGAGAAAATAAAACTGAGGCCCTGGGTTTAGTTTCAGTTTATTTTTTGATTTCTCCTACCCTTGACAGCAATTAAGACTAGACCCATGACATATGTTTCTAATTTTAGAAAAACCATCCTGAATATAATTCATGTCAAAATGTTGCTGACAGAGTGAGTACAAGGATGGTCCTTATATTATGTAGACATTGAGTAGCTAATTTTAGTGATCTTATGTTCATCCTTCTATTGGCTCATGTATATCTGATCCTCCATTGGTATATTAGGTTTTTTTATTTAAAAAAAAGAGAGAGAGAGAGACCTCTATCCTATCCTAAAGCATATTTTAATTTTTGGTGAGAAATTTCCTTAAACTCATTGTGTTTTAAAAGTGTTTATAAACATAATTTTTGATATAAGAGAAGATCATTGAACTTCATGGATATCCCAGGACACAGGGCTTAATTACATCTCTGGCAATGCCTTGTGTGATTCAAGACTTCCTTTATCTCAAATGGTTCCTATGGCTGAAATGCTGCCATCTCTTAATATATTAACTAACAGGGCTGTACTAAGTTTTTAAGGCTCCCCTGCTATTTTATGATTACAACATGCTTAAGAAAGTAACTGAAGATGAGTTATGTTAACCAAATTCTTCCCCATGACTAATTATTTTCTAAGATGTAGTGCAATATTGAATGAGACACTAAAACTCTCCGAGGGTCTCAAGAAACATGGTGGGCGACTTTTCAAAGTCAGCTGAAAGTCTGTAACTATCTGCTTACCTTACCACACAAAACCAATAATAAAAATAACGCATACAAAGCCTCCGTGTTCTAAAGTATATGTGTGTGTATATTCCTCACAATAACCCCAGCATAGATATTATTACATACTATACTTTACACATGAGAATCAAGGTGCTAAAAAAGTAATTTGTCCAGCATCACCAGTCAGAAAGTGGCTCTCCCACATTTACTGTGTCCAGATTAGTCTTCCTTTCTGACCTATAGAACAGAGCTGTAGTTTTCTGAAATTAAGCAGTGTTTGAAAAATTCAGATACAATTTGTCTTTCTATGGTGAGATTTTAAAATAAAGTTCAGAAAAGGAATATAAGCATAATAACTCCCCCGCTTTATAACAACAGAGAGGTCAAATGTCTTTAATTCTGAAGTGAGTTTGGATAATATAGAAAAACACCTGTTGATTTTAACTACCTTGATATTGTATCACCATGAAGATATTTGTTCAAAGGGTTTGGTTTTGCCACAGGTCAAGTTATTATAGATAAATTCTCCATAGGAAAATACAAATACCATGATTAATGTCTAACATTAGTTCTTATTCCTAAGTGGCATTTCTAAAAATGTTTCTTAGTGGGTTGTTAATACTTCTATTCCTTACATTTAAATATTCATAAATATCTGTAATTCACTTCATAGAAATCTTTAACAAACATGTATTACCGAATGATAGAAAATGTAAGCTGTCCCACCAGTATAGAATGGAATGCAAACAACACATTCTTAAAATGCCCACTCTTAAAATTCAAGATCTGAATGATATAAGTAACTGCTTTGAAAGTACCATGATCCAATAAAGAAAGCTGAAGAATTGATACAGCGTGTATAAATATTTTCTTATCACATTTCCTTCTGTTATGTAATTTGGTGTCTTGGTTTTTTTCCAGTTTATGTCATAATTGCAATTTTCTGCATAGCATCAGCAATGAGTCTATACAACTGTCTTGCTGCACTAATTCGTAAGATACCGTGTGGACAGTGCACGTATGTATCTCTTATGGGGGAATATTGTGATGTTGATATTTGTAATTTAATACAAGGAAAACTAAGAGTTATTTTAAACCTGTGCAGTCCAATATGCATTAGACTTATGGATGTTTATATTTAAATTAATTAAAGTTAAATGAACTTTTTGGAAATTTTAATTTTAATTCAGTCTCAGACATGTTTTAAGTATTCAGTAGCCACACGTGGCTTGTGCCTACTGTATGGGACAGCACAGATACAGAACATCACTACAGAAAGTTCTGGTGGGCTGACTATCATGTCATGACTTCTAAGTTGTTATTTCAGTCACTTCCTGTGACAGGTTTATGTTTGGCACTTTGTATATCAAGTGAACATTGTATTTTCTCTGCAGCATAAATTAAACTACTTCACTCTGTTTTTTAGGATTGCGTGCCGTAGCAAAAGCATTGAAGTGAGGCTTATTTTTCTCTCTGGACTCTGCATAGCAGTGGCTGTTGTTTGGGCCGTGTTTAGAAATGAGGATAGGTATGGATACTCAGTGTAGTCAATTTTAGATTTAAGGATGGATTGTTTTATATTTTTTCCTTATACTTATTCATTATGATAATTACGGAATTTTTGTTGCTTTTATCTCAGAACACATCTTGAAATAAGCTACTTTTTAAATGAGTAGGTCTTATGCTAATGACTTATACTCATATAGACAAGGAAGTGAGTTACGATTTAAACACCTAGACCTTGAAAATATACTTAATTATGTATATTACAGTGGAGCACAGTACAACCCTGAAAAATAGACAATATTCATGAATTGATACGCAGACATTTCCAGGATAAATTTTCTTTTTGTCGTTTTTGGTTTATTTCTTGTTTTGTTTTAATTGGATTTCCTGTTTTGCTGCTGTGTATTAATATAGTTTCTGTTTTCAGTTGTGTTTGGAGGATGGTGGTGTAGGCACCACATCAGGATATATTTTCAAGTGTAAAAAGCAAAGTGCAACCAAAGTGCAAGTGTAGAGTATGCTACCTTTCATGTGAGAAAGAAGGGGTGTACAAGATACCTGTCCATTTGCAGAGAAAGGGATATAGAAAGTATCTGTCCTGCAAAGGATAATCTGAAAAAATATATACTCAGGTTTATTTAATGGCTTATTAATAATACTGGTGACCTAAAAGATTTAATGGCCAAAAATTTGAGAAGCAAAGTTCATACAACTTTATGCAGCTTCGTGTTTGACCATCAATTGTAATTATATATGTTAGTCTCTAATAGTTACGTCACCTAGCTGTCACTTCCTTTATGTGTAAGCTCTCTGGATGTGTAGTAACACCAGTGTCCTTTGTTCATAGCTAACTTTCAAGAAAGGCACTTGTGTAAATTCACCAATTAAGTAATTGGATATCATTACTATAATAATGTATTCTTTTTGGAAGTTTCATCTAAAAACAGCTGGATAAAGCAATGTGGTAATATCTTTTATTTTAGGTGGGCTTGGATTTTACAGGATATCTTGGGGATTGCTTTCTGCCTGAATCTAATTAAAACACTGAAGTTACCCAATTTCAAGGTAAAATATACTACTTTGCTAGCTAAAATGATTTTTTTCTTCTTAAAATCACTTTATTGGATTATCATTTATGTAACATAAAATGCACTTATTTTAAGTGTACTGCTTATTGAAATTTTAGAAATCTATAACTTTGTGGTCACCATCCCAATGAAGTTTAGAACATTTCTCATTACTTCACAAAGCTCTGTTTTGCTCTTTTGCAATCAATTCTAACCCCCAAGAAAAGGCAACTACTGATTTTCTAGCTAAAATATTTTTAATCATTCATAAAATATGCCCAATTGATAAAATTCTTACAAGACTAACCAATCACTTTGATTCAGTGATTTTTTTAAACAAACTGGTTATGATGATACAGGCTTTAATGTGGTTTTGTAGAGTAAAACAACATAGTAATAACTATAAAATGCCTTTAAAAATAGTATTCAAATGTACGTTCCTATTTTTATTTGTATTTGCAAAATACTTTGATCGCTTAATTTAGATATGGGGAGGTTGACCTTTACATTTGTTTCTTTCTTCAACAGTCATGTGTGATCCTTCTAGGCCTTCTCCTCCTCTATGATGTATTTTTTGTTTTCATAACACCATTCATCACAAAGGTATGACCATGTATTCATTTATTTAAACGCATGAGGAAGCATGCTAAAAGCTGAGACTCTTGACCTGCCCTTAGATTATTGACTCTGCAGGTGTTTATTCCTGAATGAATTCTGATTCTCTTAGGAGAATTGCCTATTGTGTTAGATTAAAAAATGTCCTCTGACTGATATAAAAATGAGACTGCCTGTGATCTTTCTTCCCCTTTAAAAGTAATTTTTCCTTCCAAGTAGCTAGGATTACAGGTGTGAGGCACCAACGCCGGCCCAAAAAGTAATTTTTCCTAGCCAGGCATGTCATCCCAGTGCTCAGGAGGCTGAGGTAGGATGATCATGAGTTTGAGGCCAGCCTGGGCTTTATAGTGAGTCCCTGCCTCAAAAAAAAGAAAAAAGAGAGAGAGAGAAGGGGGAGAAGGGGAAAAAGGAAGGGAATGAAGAAGAGGAAAGAAGAGGAGAAGTAATAAGAGGAAGAAGAGGAGAAGGAAGGAAGGAAAGAAGAAAGGAAGGGAGGAGAGAAGGAAGGAGGGAGGGAGGAAGGAAGAGAAGAAGAGAAGGAAAGAAAGGTGTCATTGCTGTTTTCATTTCTGAAGTCTTAGTTTGAGAGCACACTACAAGTGGGGAGGCCTGGAGTGTAGCCTTGTAACCTTGCATCTGGAGCAAGTTACTGAGGCCTTTCTGCTTCACTTTCCTAATCACTTTGTGAAGAAGTATTTCTAGCTTTCCTCTCCACCATACATGTCAGTACAACTCTTAGCTGTAACTGACCCAAGGTCATGTGCTCGCTCCCTTTTCACTTCTGTCCACTTGTCCATTCTTCCAAAATGACTGCTTCTATGACTGGCAGCTCCTAGGTCTTACCAGTCCCAGCTCTGCTACAAGCTCCTTAATAAAGTGAGGAGAGGTATTGGGTAAGTATGGTAACCCTTCATTATTTGTCCAGTTTTTCTACCTTGACCTTTCCTATCTTTTGAATATATTACTATTATTTAGTTATCCCTCTTTCTCCACTTTACTTTGAATCTTGCTTTGTGATTTTATGTCATTCCTTTATTCTTTGTCATTCTCACGTTTAGTATTTGATACCTACTCTTTTCTTCCCTTTGTTTTTGTTTTGTTGTTGGCAGTGCTGGGGATCAAACCCACATGTTCCAGACAGACACCACCACTGAGTGCATCCCCAACCCCACAGTGATTCTTTATCCATTCTTTAGACCCCACCATCTATGGAGCCACTATAAAAATTTGTGCTTCTGATTGTCTGTAATGGCATAGGACAAACCTGTATGTACCAAATACAGTGAACCACCCCTAATTATATTCCCCAAACCATCTTAGTAGCACCTTTCCATGCCTTTGACAAGCTGTTTGACTCAGTGACTTCATTGAGCAATAGTAACCTAAAAAAAAAACACAAGAAAAGTAAGAAAAAATTTGAAAAACAAAAAATTAAATTATAGAATTAGTATGGGTTATAACTAAAATTGGACATTTACTAAGGCATTTCATTTCTTTTTTTTTTTTTTTTGGTGGGACTGGGGTTTGAACTCAGGACTTCATGCTTATAAAGCAGGTACTCTACTGCTTGAGCCACACTTCCAGCCCATTTTGCTCTGGTTGTTTTGGAGATGGGGGGTCTCATGGACTCTTTGCCCAGGCTGGCCTCGAACCTTGATCCTTCTGATCTCAGCCTCAGGTGTGAGCCACTGTGCCCAGTTTACACTGTTTCATTTCTATCTAAATGCTGTCCGGGTGTGTGTCAGTTTACTTGATTCAAAAAATGTTGTGCTAGGGGCATGATACAAGTGACATAGCACCTGCCTAGCAAGCTCAAAACCCTACATGCAAAACAGCAGTACCATCAAAAAATGTTTTTAAGGGGTACTCCATGAGAGATCTCACAATGAAAACAAAGTATTTCCTTTAGAAAGCTCCTCCTGCAACTCAGAAATTAGTTCACTGCATATGACCTGTAGATTACACCGTGGATTGAACTGAAAACTGTAACTAAACTTTTACCACAGTGTCACTTTATGAATGTTTTTATTCCATACACATAAAATGTTTTAGAATTTTTTTTTTTGACAGTGCTGGGTTTTGAACTTGGGGCTTAGCATTTGCTAGGCAGGCACTTCATTGCTTGAGCCATACTTCGAGCCTTTTTTGTTCTGGTTATTTTGGAGATGGGGGAGGGCATCTTGATTTTTGTCCCTACCAACATGGACTTCAATCCTCCTTTTTATGCTTCCCACCATAACTGAGATGACATTTGTGTGCCACTGTCCTAGCTATTGGTTGAAATTGGAATCTTGCTAACTTTTTGCCCAGGCTGGCCTCAAATCTCAATCCTTCTGATCTCAGCTTTCCAAGTGGCTGGGATTACAGGTATGAGCTACTGGTGCCCAGCTTAGAATCTTAAAGATATAGGATAATAATAAAGGTGTCTGTTAGCCTTTCTTTCTTACCTGCTTAGGAAATTTTTCATCTTCTTTTTTCCTTAGTTCCTACTGACTAAGAATGTGATTTCTAGCAATCTAACACAGTAGAAAACCTGGAGTACTCTTTGGAGTTCATTGTAGGTTTGCATGACACTGTCTCAGTCTGATTTGTTTTTATTCAGGCTGTAGTCCTACCTTAGTAGGTAATTCAGAATGAAAATCAGATATTTAATTGGTGATTCTTGTGATTTTTGATATGCATTTGAAAGGTTAAATATTGGATATTTCTAAACATGTTCTTGACCTAGGTACAGTGGACTGGTAGTGAGTTGGTAGGGTGGTGGCCATTGCCATACAGCAGTAAGAGCCTGTCTGTCTATACTTGGTTTTTTTGTCCAACATTGTACTCAGTGTAGTATTTCACAAATAGCAGTTACTCGGGTATCTATGACTGTCTGGGAGGAAGCAGTGAGGATCTTCAGCTAAATGTTGTAAATATCAACTAGGGAAGGAACCAAGTTAACTCTTTATCTGGAAGTTTTTGGGACTCTTCGCTGAGGAACTGTATTACTATCAGTTTATCTTGCTAACCTCCTGTGATTTAACCTTTCTGTCATGAGGAAAAGATTTCTGTAGCTAGAGGTTCTTTCTTTTTACTCATCTTAGGTATCATTGAAAAGCTTTTAAAAACTCTCAAGTGATTTCCTCTGTGTACCCCACCCACACAGAAAAGATTGTAGTTAGGCAATAGCATTTTCCTAAAATTCAGCATTTATCTCCCCTCTACCTGTTTTGCTGATCCATTTATACTATGAAACATAAAATGCCATCTTAGTCTGCTGCCTCAAATTGTTTCCCTTCTCTACAGCAGGTGGGATTATCAGGAGAAACATTTTTAATAAACTCACATTGCCCACATAAAAGACTTAACAGACAAAAGAAGGGAAACTCAGCTAAGGAAACCGTTTTGATATATAGACAGCAGGCAGGGCTGATACTGGACAGGAGTCGGGCTAGGGATACTTCTCAGATTCTAGAGAGTTGGATCTTTTCACATTTGGCTTCATTCTTTTGTTGTGGTGATGAGCAGCCTAAAGATCAAATGGATATTTATTCAAATATAGTTGCCTATATTTGTCACAAAGCTAAATTTAAAAGATTTTACTATGTTCTTCCTCACTGGTATTGGTGAGAATGACTAAGAACCACAGTACTTTACATAATAAATAATTAAAGGTCCTTAAAAATTACAACCATTACAAATGTTAGATGTAATACGACAATACAATCTAGAGTTCAGGGCACTTTTGAACAATCTGAGCATGGTGAATTTGTCAATTTCTGAAAAGCATTAGCTCTAAAAAAGTGGAGCAGTGTGCTAGGTGAATTTTGATTTAGATGGCTTCAATGTTTGCTGTCTACAGAGACTGAGGGAAAAAGCATTCAGTTTACAGTAGCCATATACATGGGACCTAAATCATTCTTGAATAGTGGCAGATTGTCCTGTTTGAATGACTCCTTTCATCTTCTTCCTCAACTTTAGAATGGTGAGAGTATCATGGTTGAGCTTGCAGCTGGACCTTTTGGAAACACTGAAAAGGTAGGGATGGCAGTAAAATAGAAATGGCTGCCCAGGGTGTGTACATGTGTCCAGTTAATAACTGTGCCTTCCTGTGTAACTCATTGGTCATGTAGTACATGTTAAGGTATTGTAAAACTCATTTCTCACAAAATATAGCCCTTTGCTTAGTTATCCTAGATTATTAAATACCTATTGACTTGGGTTTCATCCTAGAATGATGGAAACTTTGTGGAAGCCACGGCTCAGCCCTCAGCTCCCCATGAGAAAGTAAGGACTGTATTTCAGATATGTTCATTGGACTTTAAATAATACCCTCTGAGACATGACTCTTCTTTGGGGGAAAAAAAAATCCAGATTACAAATATCTCTATCTCTATCTCTTATCTATATGTTACAAGGTCTGAGTCCTATTCTTAGTAAAAAGAAAAAAAACAAAAGGCTAAATATGGGGATAGTATCTTAATACTGTTAATCCCACAGTATTCATTTGTTCAAAATTTCTGTACATGCCGAGTGTGAACATATATTCCTAGTTTTTGTCCTCTGATTTCAAGATTTTTTTAATGTCAGTTTTAAAATGTTGAAACCATTCTAATGTCAGTCCTTCCCTTTCTAAAAAGAATGATTGGGAAGAGGTTTATCGGTAGACTTTCTTTTCTCTTTCTTTTTTTCTCTCTTTTTCTTTTTTATTACAGTTACCAGTAGTTATCAGGGTGCCAAAGCTGATGTATTTCTCAGTAATGAGTACGTGCTTCACGCATGTTTCAATATTGGGTTTTGGAGACATTATTGTACCAGGTAAGTGATTGTAATAGTTTTAGTAAAAATATACTGATGGCTTAATTATTATTATTTATATTTGACAGTACTGGGACTTGAACTTGAGTTTTTGTGCTTGCTAGGCAAGCACACTGCCATTTGAACCATAGCTATAGTCCTATACTGATGATTTAAAATAGTCCTCTGTATGATGTCTGTTAAAGATTATTACTCTATATTGTGTGTTTCTGTCTATCGATAAAGCTGGGATCACTGACAAAGGAATTTAAAAAAGCATTTTTTGAGGGGAAGAAAAGGCCCAAATGGTAACAACCAAGGAAAAATCTCTGCTAGTGCAAAAAGTGTCTTAAAGGAAGCAGCTAGGATCTAGTTTCACTTTCTTCCCTAATAAAGTGTATTTTGTGAGCCTTTTTAAAAGTAATAATGCCAAACATACAGCTTCTATTTTATAATAATAGTTGTATCTAAGGAAGTGGTTCAGAGAGATTAGCAAGGTTGTGTTCCAAAGGGGAAGCAGTAGGACACAGCTTGTCTGGCCTTATAATACCCTAAGACAGAGTCTAGGAAAGGATTTGCCTTCTTACTGTTCCTGCAGATCTGCCTGAGTTTCCTCACTGACCTCACTGCCTGCAGATAACTTCACCTCAGGCAAGTAACAACATCGATTAGCTTTCTGTGCTGATAGCCACTTCCATGAGCATGGTGGACATTGCAAAAGTTGTCAGAGTTTCTATAAGAACAGTGGTAGACACCAACCACAAAGTGGCACACCACAAGAAGGGCCAGAGCTCTGTGTGTGACCAGGGTGAGCAGTATTGTGACTGAAAGCCGAGAGGCGCTGGGCCACCTAAGTCAATTTTCTGGAAAAGGCAAAACTGCCTAGAAGATTGTGCTTCGGCTTGAGTGTGTTGAGCACACCTGCACATCCAAAAGAAAGCTGGCTGTTAGAGATTTTCAATTGGGAGAAAATAACAGAAAGGGCCAAGTGATCCAGTTCTAAGCTTCATCCTTTATTATGAGACACCAAAGTCTTGAGGTTATGTTCATTAACAAGTAATGTAGTTTAAAAGTAATTAGCTGGGTGTGGTGGTACATAGCTGTAATCCCAGCACTCAGGAGGCTGAGGTAGCAGAATTGTGAGTTTGAAGCTAGCCTGGGCTAAATAGTAAGATCCTGTCTCAAAATACCCGAGCAGTAATTAATATTAATCAGCCAGTATTCCTCATCTGTCATCCATAGGCTGCTTGTTCTTTGTCACTTTCCCACCCTCTCCCTACATACTAACTGCTTGTAAATGGGTGAGGAATAGTGACTTTTCAAAAAGCCCTGTTTACATAGCAAAGCCGCACAGAGAGAGAAGCTAACAGAGTTCCCTGGTGAGTTGGCATGGCAAAGTCCACTTAGCAACTCTCTTAGTTCAGTGAATCTCTACTCATATAACTGATAAGGCAGGAAGAACTGTCGAGTAACCTTACAGTTCCTTGAATATCTTTAAATTGACACTGGAAGATCCCTTATTTTACCAGTGTCACAGTAAGTGCTACCTAAGATCTACACAATAGTCCTTGGCATAGAACTAGTAAAAATAGTACGCAAACTCTTAAATTCTTAAAGTAAATGTCAGAGATCTCAAAGAGAAATACGTTTGAGTAGAGTTATTGACAATATGTGACGTAACAGTAAGAGCTAAGTTTTGACTGGGGGAGGGAGTACCATATTTTTCAAGCTATGGAAATGTGATTAAACAGCAAAAGGATCAGAGAACTTACTTTATTAGTAATATACATATCAAAACTAATTAATCCAAACAACCTGCAAATATAGTCAAATTATTTTATGATTTTTAAGGGGCTTTTATTAATGAACATGATTTTATTATGTTCATTAATAAATGAACATAATCTGAGACTTCTTTGTAGAGGTTCAACACATTTTTTACAAGAGGTGTGTTAAATGAGTCATTGATGCATATCTGCACATATACAAATGGGAGCATGTATTTCATTGTGTACAAACTCTTTACATTAAAACTCCAGTCATTTTGTGCTGTTAGAAAGGGGACTCTTTACCACAACTGGAAATTGCCTTCCGTGATGCCTTTTTTCAATATAGTTTAAACCATAACACTTAAAATCTGCCCTTAGGAAACTTTAAGAATATAACACATTGCTATTAACTATCATCACTGTGTTATACAATAGATCTCTGGAACTATCTAAATAGCATTTTGTATCCTTTGAGCAACATCTCCCAAAGTCTCCATCCCAACCCCCGCCCCCATTAATCACATTTTCTGTACTTCTGTGAGTTCATCTATTTAAGATCAATGAGATCATGCAGCATCTGTGCCTGGCTTATTTCACTTAACATAATGTCTTCAAGATTTATCATGTAACAATGATAGGACTTTCTTCCCCCTCTCACTACTGGAGTTGGAACTCAGGGCCTCACACTTGCTAGGCAGGTACTCTACTGCTTGAGCCATGCCCCCCGCCCATTTTTGCTTTAATTATTTTTCAGGTAAGGCCTTTCGTTTGCTATGGCTGGCCTCAGACCACTATCCTCTGACCTACAGCTACCCATGTAGCTGGGATCACAGGCACACGCCACCATGCCTGACTTAATAATTTAAATGGGGTCTTGCTAACTTTTTAATGGGCAGACATCAAACTACAATCCCCCTCATCGCCACCTCCAAGCAGCTGTGATTACAGGTGTGAGCTACTGTCCCTGGCCCAGGACTTCCTTTTCTCTTTTCTTTTTTTTTTTTTTTTTTTGCCTGGGGTTTGAACTCAGGGCTTGGCATTTACAAAGCAGTTGCTCTACCTCTTGAACCAAACCTTTGGTCCATTTTGCTCTGGCTGTTTTGGTGATGGGGATCTTATGAACTATTTGTCCAGGCTGGTCTTGAACTGTGATCCTCCCAATCTCAGCCTCTCAAGTAGCTAGGATTACAGTGTGATCCACCAGCGCCCAGCAGGACTTAGTTCTTTTTAAAGAATGACCCCTTTTGTACATGCAGCTCATTTTCTTTTCCATCCATTCATCGATTGGGTTGATTTCATGCCTTGGCTGTTGTGGATGATGCTAAACATGAGAGTACAAGTATTTCTTTAATACCTGATAGTAGAATTTCTGGGATATATGGTAGTTCTATTTTAATTTCTTTTTACTTTTGAGGCAGGGTCAAAAAAAAAGTTTGGCTGACCTCCAAACTTGAAATCCTCTTAGCCTCCCAAGTGCTGGGATTATAGGCTTCTGCTACCACACCCTGCCTATTTTAAATTTTTTGTTGTTTGTTTTTGTGATGCTGCAGATCAGGCTCTAATGCATGCTTGGCAAGTACAAGAAATGTCTACTCAAATCCTTTGTCCACTTTCTAGTTAAGTCATGTTTTCTTACTTTTGAGTTTGAGTTACTTATGTATTTTACATGTATGGTTGCAAATACACCCATTGCATAGGTGGTGTCTTCACTGTGTTGATTGTTTCCTTGACTGTACAGAAGTTTTTTGTTTTAGGTTATCCCATTTGTCTATTCAATATATTTTAATGAAATATTTTCTCCATGATATGGAATATTGAGCATCTAATGAAAGTTGTGTTTTAAACACTGTTTAGTGGCTTGGGGAAAATGTTTAAAATATGGCATTAAATTTTAAAATTCAGCATGTAAAACTTTGCCCAGAATTTAAGGTACTTTAATGATCTTATTAATGCAAAAAGAAAGTTTTATACAGTACAGCATATGTTGTTGCCAGTAGTTAACGGCTGAATTTATATTAATGTTGTTGTTTTAAGAAAGTAACATGGAGTGTTTTTGTTTTCTTTTTTAAGGCCTGTTGATTGCATACTGTAGAAGATTTGATGTTCACATTGGTTCTTCTGTATACTTTATTTCATCCACAATTGGTAATTTTCTTTTTATTATGTTGAACTGTACTATCTGCAGGAAAAGATAGAGGCCTAAAAATAAGTGGTCCTAGATTCTAATTATTCATTATAAGTTAATGTTACATTTTTCCATCAAAAAAAGATGACTATATTTTACAATTTATATCACAAGGTTTTAGACTTTTAAAAAGAAAATTAGGGGGTTGGGAGGTATGGCTCAAGTGGTAGAGCACCAGCCTAGCAATTGTGAGGCCCTGAGTTCAAACCCTAGTACCACCAAAGGGGGGAAAAAAAAAAAGAAATTAGATGTGAAGTTAATTCTTGTTAAAATACCTAGTGTTTAAGTAGTCAGTAAATTGTGTATACTTTTCAAATAGTATATGGATAACTGTGTATTTATAGAAATGAATTTGTGGCATAATAACGCCTCACCAGGACCACAAAGGTAATTGTCACTTGAACCTCTGTTTCTACTATTGAGGACAGAGTTGATAATAAAGCAAGGCAAAATAAACCCTATAACTCCTGAGCATCTCAAAATCCATACAAGCAAAGTTCTTTATGCGTACATAAATGGTCTATACCAGAGCCATTTAGATACATTATAGCAAGGCTTTCAAGTCCACAATGGAAGTAAATCTCGTAAATTAAAATGTACATTAGTAGTAGAGAAGGATGTTGTTAGAAATAGGTATCTCAACAGCAAGAAAGAAGTTGAGTGGAGGAGGTGAAGAAGAGAATAAAACAAACTCTACAGAAATACATAAAGCAATCCAGGCACCAGTGGCTCATGCCTGTAATCCCTGCTACTTGGGAAGCTGAGATTGGGAGGATTGTGATTTAAGGCCAGCCCAAGAAAGTAGTTAGAGACCCCATCTCCAAAATAATCAGAACAAAATAGGCTAGAGGCATGGCTCAAGCTGTAGAGTACCTGCCTGGCAAACTTGAAGCCCTTAGTTCAAACCCCAATATCACACAAAAAAGAAAAATAGTCTGAAGCCACTAAGTATGGCACTCTTCAAAGGACATTAATGCCCAGTGCTAATCAACATGATAGAATAGAGAGCACTCAAGGCAAAGGCAGATTCTCGAGTATTTTTCAGTTCTGCTTGGTAACTGTGAACAACGCACTCAAACTCCCTGACCTTCCATCACCTCATCTTTAAAATGAGTAGCTAGACTTAGTCACCCATAAAGGTCCTTCCAGGTCCAGTGATCTGAGATCCTGTGTTCATGGTGAAGCCTGAATTATTAAGACAAGTACAAATGATGTTTGCTATACACTTATTTAAAAAGCCTAGGAAGTACGTAATCAGTACTAAGAAGATGTTTTTCAAAGCCACTTTAATACCTACAGGTACAGATTTAGGATCCTTAATAGTGACAGATAATTGATACTTTTAAAAATTATGCTGGCAGAGCCGCTTAAGTGGTGTGAGGCCCTGAGTTCAAACCCCAATTCCCAATATCCATATATATGTGTATATATATATATATATATATATATATATATATATATACTTTTCCATGATTAATGGTTGGATTGAAATACTAACACAGTTTTCAGATTTTTCAAAAGCTCTGTAGAATATCTCTCCTAATTATTGTGTAGGAACAAAAGAAATTATGAGAAGACATATTGCAAAAATATGTCTTCAGAAATATTTAAAAAGCAGTGCTGGAATGGCGGGGGGAACAGTTTTCTTTTGTAGTGCATGGAAATGACTGACAGTTGGAATTCTCCCACAGCCTATGCCGTTGGCATGATATTTACATTTGTTGTTCTGGTGCTGATGAAAAAGGGGCAACCCGCGCTCCTCTACCTAGTCCCTTGCACACTTATTACTGCCTCAGTTGTTGCTTGGAGACGTAAGGAAATGAAAAAGTTCTGGAAAGGTAGCAACTATCAGGTATGTGCTATACTTTATAATTCACTGACTGAATTGGACTGGAAACAATCCATATACATCAAAGCTTTTATACACCAAAAAATTACCTTACGTCTGTCAGGATATCTTAAGTTTTCCCCACTACTGTCCCTTATTCAGTATCCCCCTGCTCTGACATCAGTGCTCACCTCTCGTTGCTGTCTAATGCCAGAAGCCTGGTGTCTCAAGACAAAGCTACCAAGAAATGGGGTGGGAGGAGGGGAGGGGGCATTTGGGAAAACATATCAGCATTTAACATGCACTTTCAAAATCCTTGTAAAAGTAAATTTCATGGAACTATGTTTAAAGAAAGTACTGAATTCTGGGACTGACATCAGCAATTTATATTGAGTCATAAGGTTTTGAAGAGAAAAAGATGTAATTCTCCCCAGCATTTGAGTATTACAGGGTAGGGCACTCATTTCAGATTTAAATGAGTCAAGATAGGCCTTTCTTCTTCTTTTTGTTTTTTTTTTTTTTGGTTTTTTTTTGGTGTCACTGGGGTTTGAAACTCAGGGCCTTCATACTTGCTAGGCAGGTACTCTTACTGCTTAAGCCCACTCTGCCAACCCTTTTTTGTGATGGGTTTTTAGAGATAGCGTCTCCCTAACTATTTGCCCAGGGCTGGCTTTGAACCATGACCTTCTCGATCTCTGTCTCTTAAGTAGTTAGGATTACAGGGATAAGCCACCAGTGCCTGGCAAGATTGGCCTTTCTTTAAGATTCCTAGAGCAAAGAAAATCTGGATTTCAGATCTGTTATGTTTTAGTTCTTTCTTCATACATGTTAAACTCCTTTTGTCTTTTTCTAAATGTCCTTGGTATTCCAGTTAAGTCTATTTGCATTGAAAGTAGGAGGATTGAGAAACCCTTGGCTGCTGAGGTCAGGACCATGGCATTGACCCCTTCATGGAAGCACTTTGTAGGGTAGTTATCTCTGCTTTGCCCTATTATAGCAAACTACCCTCCTCCATCCACCCTCATGCATGCATGACAGTGGTCACATGCATAGAAAGAGAGTCACTTTGAGTGGGTGGCTGCAAATTTGTTACTAGAGAAACTGTTCAAAGTTCATGTTCATCTTGTGGTTGGTCTGTAGTGTCTTTTTTGTAGTGTTATTTATTGAGAAGTGGTTAACAGATTACATTATAGGCTACTAAAACTAGAAAAAGCACTGATTTAGAATTCTTTCTGGTATCTTTAATTTCTTTGAGATTTGGATAAAATAATAATACATGCCTTGCTAACCTTACAATGCTATTGTCTCAATTTATTATTAATAAATATATACAGAGAGAATTTTACATATTTATGGCCACAAGGTCCTTGACAAAACTAGTAAGACAGCTTTCAACTTTTCATGAAGATGGCACCCACATTAATTGATAGATTGCTTGTTTGTTTTGTTTTGGGCACTGGGGATCCAACACAGGGCCTCCCACATGCTAGGCAAGTTAGGATTTTTTTCATTCTCATGGATTATACAATCTCCTACTAACCTTTGAATACCATATTCCAAAA